TTCCAGTTTCTGTACCAGTCCTAAGTAGGCTTAGCATTGCTTAATAAAAGACCAAACTACAAGGTTATTTTCCAGATCTGCTTCCTTACTGAAAAGGTGAGGAGATTTTACTGGGCTCAGCTCAGAAACCACATGCCTAGGTCTGTTGTCAGCTGGGGGAGGGAGCTGAAGTACATGTACTTCCTATTGATCAGTTGTTCATACAGTATACTGAAGAGCAATTCCTATTGGTCGATAAGAGGAGGCATCTTTTCAATTCCAATTGGCCAGACATAAGAAGCTGAGCAGCCAATCATATCAGTGACAAGACTAGATGACAATCTTGATACACTTCTCTATGAAAGTAGATGTTTGAAGTTCCTGAAAATATAGACCTGGTAGGATAACAAAAATACACATTTTGCTCAAATTAAATAGAAGGCAACTTTCTAACCCATGAATAACTTTTACATCTTCATAAAAACTCAGCATTAAAATGACCACAAATTAGTTAGGCAGAGCCCTTATAACTATCATGTTTGACAATAGAATCCACCTTTAACAAATACTGTGTTCAATTGAGCTGCTAAAAGAGCTGTGTGTTGCGTCGTGTGTTGCAGTGATCTAGAGGTGTGGTCGCCACAGTGTGTACAAACAACACATAATTTGAACTCAGTCTTTGTTATTGAGCTCGCTGAAACAGGAGTGTCATAGATTTCTCTGAGACTTTTAACCACAGATGGCAGAACAGAGGTACAGCAGCATAGATCGCCGCAATGACATCAATAGTGGAACAAGACACAGGTGTGCTCCTACCTGCAGGCCATATAAATCTAACCCAGAGATGGCAGAGAGTAGAAAGTACAGTGCTTACTGAAGCCAAGCTGCACATAAATTACATTTGACTGTATTCGGTGAGTATATGGTTTCCCATTTGGAAAAAGACATAAAGGGATTGTGTTGGAAGCAAAAAAGGTAAAGAGATGAGCAAGAGACCCTCAGATAGTATAAGACAGTTATAGACAAAATTAGAGTCACCAGACCTGGAGCTCCCCATCTGTTTCTTTCACAACTAGCCATGCCATGGGAGTTTAGGCAGGTGTTTGTAGCTCTTATATTCCTACTGATGCTAAATATAAAACTGCCTCTGAAATTATTTACAGTTATATTCAAGATCTTAAATAATATGCCCCGAAATTAATTCTGGGAGTGTAACTGGCTGTTTGCTTCAGACTAATTATTATCAATACTTAAAAGGCTACACAAAAGGTTCTAGAACATTAGATCTCTGTTATTGAAACATTAAGAATGCCTATAAAGATCTTATCAAACCACTGACAGGATGATCTGATCTGTTTGCCTATTACCATTGTACCGACAGAATTTCAAAACAGTGAAGCCAAAGACCAGACTTATGCATGTGTTGGAGCATGAAAGAGTCCAAGCTTTGCAAGGCTGCTTCGATTCAACAGACTGTGAGGTGACTGTGAGGATGATAATGACCAGGCTGATGGTATCGACTTCAAATGACATTATTTGTGTTTAAAATGTGATCCCATCCAAACACATTTTTAGCTATACAAACAGTAAAGATTAAAAAAATGCTGGTGAAGAATTCTTTAACATGTAATTGAGCTCATTGGTGTGTCTCCCCTTACAATAACATCTGAAGAAGTGGGGAGTCTGTTTTTGCAAATAAGTACTCAAAAATCAATGGGCCTGGAAAATCTGGGAGGCAATACTTTGCAGAAATGTCCTCAACAACTTAGTCCTGTATTCTGTTAACTTTCCCAAAAGGAACTGGAATATTTACAGTTCTGAGTTTGTGGAAGACATCTGCAGTGATACCAATATCTAAAAGAACAAAACCTGTTGAATAACAAGATTTCCATCCTGAAAACTTAAGTTTAGTTTCAATGAAATGTTTTGGACAAAAGTTCTGCTCCATCTTCATTTGGCCAACAGTGTCCTCAAGGTCCCTTAACCGTTTGTGTACAGGGTGAAACAAGCAGTGGAAAGTGAGGCTCTTGCCTTGTTAAGTCAAGTATTAAAGCATTTAGAAACCTCATCATCGTATGTGCACATACAGGACGTTTTGTTACTAATTAACACTATTCAGGCATACAGGTTGATAGTGAAGATTCTGGATATAGGAGTACATCATACACTTACAATTTTCTTACTCATTGGGAACAGTATGTATGAGCGATCCTGGGGAAGTCTCTCATCATCAGCACCAGCGCAGGGGTAACCCAAGGCTGTGTGCTGTCCCCATTGCTTTTCACACTGTACACTGGTGATTGTGATGATACAATTACACACAGGAGATACAGTGAATCCTTTTTCTAATTGGTGTCAGGATTAGTTTTTCAACACAAAACAAAGGAAATGATCATTGAATCCAGGAAGAAATGTTCCTTTCCTCTGAACTCTGTAACTCTGAATGGAACAGATAGTGAAACAGTAAATGAATATAAATACCTTGGCACTCTTATTGATTGTAAAATAACTTGGATCGCCAATACAGAGGCAGGGTATTTAAAGATGCAGCAAAGGTGGTATTTCCAAAGGAACGTAAGGAGTTGTAATGTAGACAGCACAATGTTTGACACTATTTGTCAGTTTGATTCCAGGTATTTTAAGCTTTAGTATTCAGAGCTGGGGCGGGGCCTTGTCCTGGCAGAACAGAAACAAGTTGAACAAAGCGATCAGGGCTGGTGGCAAGATTACCGGCACATCCTTGGACTCAAGAACATGTCTAATGGGGCGACATATTATTAATCTTGCACATAAAATCTTACATGTCCCCTGTCATTCATTATTTTTAGATTATACTCCCCTATCCCCTAGATGGAGGTACCAGATCCCCTGTATAAAGACTAGGCAAGTATTTACTTCATTTCCACCTAAAGGCATCCAATTGTGGAGCAGTTAAAAGATCGTTCAGAGGTAGGGTTCCTATTGTTATTGTTGGTATTTCAGACACTTTACTAGCTAGTTGTCTGTTTTTAATCTTATGATATAGGATCGAGCTCTGACTGAGCAATGTTGATTTGCATCATAGTATTGCACCTTTGTAATATTGTATTATTGTCATATATGTTGTATGTTATGTGCTCCTGATCAGCAAGACAAGCTGCCTTTGAGGCAATAAAGGTTATTTCACTCATTTCTTTCATAGTATCCTGTAGAAGAGACTGAAAGAGGATGAAGAAATTGGAAAGATAAAATGGACTTAACAAGCATGCATACTGTCATTTCTCTCTGAATTCAGGGTTTAATTATTAAAGAAAGGAATATAAGAAACGGCCAATTATAAGGCAGTTTATTTTATATTGGTAAGAAGAAAAGATTGAATCTATTTTTGAGGGAGAAAATTGAAGTATTTATTTTTCTAGCTTTGAGAAGAATTGTGTATTTTGATCCAGGACAATTATCTGTTTTAGAGTGTTTTGGTGTCAGGTCTTTTTCTTGTTATTGTGTTTTAATTTATCACAGTAGACCAGCATCTGCCAGAAGGATCTATTTTATTTTTCTGATTACTTTTCTCACGCTGAAATGAAGACTTGTTTTTTTTTTAACTGTAATTTGCCTAAAGTGTTGAGTTCTGTCTACCAACTGACCCAGAAGATGACTGAACTCTCACAGTATCCTACTTTCATTTAGTTTTCATTGAATACTTAGTGCAACATATTACGAGGCTGCGATAGACTCGTCAGCAGTGGCATCAGGTCCTCTTCACAGATGAGTCACTCTTCAGCCTGTTCCACGCAGACGGGAGGGACAGAGTGTGGAGGAGGAGGTGTTGAGTTTCTGTTTTCCATCAGTATATATGTATGTGTATGTATCTGCAGTTAAACATGCTTCTGTACGTACACACTGTACTGTAGGTGCTCTGGGACAATGTAAACCGAGCCTGGAAAAGGCCAGTTATTGTCTGTGTAATGCAGAGGGATGTTGAATAGGTTAACCTTCACTTTTGAGAAATAAACTAATATAAAGGTTATAATAATGTTCAATATCAATTTACTACATTTAAATGGACATGCAATGGTTACATAAGCAGTTTAGGTTCTGAGTAGCCTTGTCACATAATGAAATTTGTTTTCATGTGCATCGATCGGAGAAATGATCCTGTTTCCATGGTTAATGATTCTCAGCACTAATGAGAATTGAGAAATACAATCACAGTAAGAGCAGTTACATCATTAAGAGGGAGTTACAGTCGGTTGTGTGCAGGCTGGGAGTACTGTACAGATCTCTTTGGGGAACTGGACAGAGATACATATTGATTTACATTTGTCAAAAGTAGTGAACAGTATATTTTGTGTTAAGGAAGGGCCCCAGAGTTGGATTTCATGCACATTAAAAGTTAATTCCTTGAATATCAAAAGCTTATTTTTTTCTCTTACTGAATGATAGTTAATGGTTGAAGAGTTGAGTACTTCTTTTCAGTATATACAGATCTTTAAAAGATCAACTGCTTCCATTGAGTCTGTTCTCTAAACCTCCACTTAAAAGGAGAACAGCATTCAGAGCTGAAGTGTTGCACCAAAGATCGTGGGTGTGTGTGTGTGTGACAGCACCACATAGGCCCATGATTAACTGTGTAATGCTGTTTCAGAGGACAGTCTGATTGGTTCCTAAAGTGCTGTGATCATCCCCCCTCCCCCATGATGTGCTCAGCCCCACGAAAGAAGTTCAAGCACCCCAACATATTTGCATTCTCTCAAGTTCCTGGCAACGACACATGAACCATTTCTACACACAGTACTTTGTAATTCGCGTTAGAGTCTTTTGTCCAAGAGCAGTATTAACAAGATTAAACGCTATCCAATTTAATGTGGAGATTCATTTTTCTAGATACATACAAGTAATGGCTGTATTTTACAGCCGAGTTGCAGGAAAGACGTCTGTGCAGTAACTACGCCAGAGGAAGACGAAGCACCCTTAACAGCCTGCAAGGGGAATATTAAAAAATAACCGGGAGGATAATCAAAAGTGGAGAAATTCACACAGCCTTTCAAAAGCAATCCAAGGACACGAGTTTATTGCAATAACTAAACAAGAGGAAACCGCATAGGAATAACCCAGCTGGCTGTTAATATCCAGTACTGAACATCGCTCAGGCGGTCCGCAGTCTGGAGCCCCGGGAGAGGAAGCGCTTCTTTTCAGGACACAGCCGGAGAGACGGTGGGTAACCCGGGACTGCGAGGTGAGTCCGGCTGCTCCCCGGGATCAACTGCCGCTTGAACACAGGAGAGAAAGCGTTTCGCGTTCCTATACCGGTCTCAAGCGTCAAGTCTCGGCCTCTCACCATAGCCGATACAAAGGTAGCACCACTTTTTGAAGGCAGAAATAAGCGGTTTATTCGCAGGGATATGTTAAGCAGTCGGTACGGGGGTGGGGGAGGAAAAAAAAGCTTGGCTCCATTTTCACGGGGTAATTCCCCCACCCAAGTACAGGCACACGTCGTGCTTTCACGTTTAAAGAGTCTCGATAAGCAAGCAAAGCACAGACCGGTCGGATTCTCTCACCTTTGAATTCGCCGCTCATCACCCCAGCTTCACGCTACACGGGAGCGCTGCGTTTCGGCCTTCAGACGGTTGTGGCGGACAGGAAGGCTGGGGAGCTGGAGAGAAGAAACTGCATTAAATAAGAGCCCTGTCGAAACACGAGGAACATACCTGACCAAGGTCTACAAACACAAACAGCTGGATTAAGGAGTAGCAAAAACGATACGTTGTAGTTCGCCCCCTGCTAGCGGTACGCAAGTTGTTGGTTTATTTTCAATTAATGTTTCTTTGAAAACTCGAATGAATTTTCAAAAATCCAGCGAGTTGCTTTTTTCCTTACTCTGAAGTTCAGATGCCTTCTCTCGATTACTTTTGAGCTATTCCTTCCCTAATACAAAGAGACTTTTGTCCGACATGATTTTCCTTTGGCTGCAAAACCCCTATATAAAGCTAAAGACGACATGCGCCTACCAGAACATTTTTTAAAGGAGACCAATTGACGGCTGATACGAGATGAATCACACCTGGCTTCTGGCTTTTAATTAATTAGAAACGTCTAAAACACGGACTGGATTCTGGAGTTGGCCGTCTCCGCTTTGGAAATGGTCCTTCCCACGCAAGTAATTTGGAGTACAGTCCCACTCCACATTTTCAACTGAGCCGCTGATAAAGTAACTTTATTCAACTTTAATTGAACATTTAAGATTTGTTTTCATTTCAATTCAAAATACTTTATTCTTCCCCAGGGATTCAGCTGGTAAATAGTAAAAGGTTAGAAATTAGCGCGATCCTTGCGTTAGAAACAGTTTCGGAATTCCCGTCTTTTAACAGTAAGAATTAAACTGCTACTGTCTGACAGTCAATCTCACCTGTGATTACTTTACTGTACATCACTCATTGACAGTGGTTCCTCATCACTGTACACTGTGTATATCCCTGTTTATACCTGTGTACACAGTGAATAACAGTATATAAAATTTTGTTGACTTTTTTTAATTAATCAAAATAGTGCCAGCCGTCTGATATTCATAGAAAACGTTTTCTAACCACCTGCACTCTTTTCACTTGACTACAGTAACTCTCTTATCTTATTGAATATTGAATATTAGCTTCTTATATATAATATTAAGAGTGATGTGATTAGCCACTGATTGCAAAACTAGTTATTACATCCTTATCACTATTCTGTTTTCTATGCATACACTCGTTCCCATTTTATTTACGTGCATAGCTTTTGATTTTTTCATCTTTCATCTGAGGGAATAAAACTTAGATTTGGAACCTTGTCAAACGCCCATGGAAATATAAACAGATCATGTCGTGACAACTATTAGTATAAAGGAACTGAAGGGATACTCTACCCGAACACCAGCCGGGGCATAAAAACATTGAGAACAATTAAATCGTTCATGTAGTTTTCTAAAATGTTATCTTTAAAATTTTTCAGACATTTAAAAAAAAAAAACTTTACATTTTACCCCCTCTGACTGAACAGGGGGAACTGCCTCGTCTCCTAAGTGTGACTTGGCTTAAGACTGAATAAGAGAGTCACATGGCCGGTCCTTAGCGTGGCCGGCCTGGTGGCTCCGTGGGCTAACCCATCGGGCACTTTCTAAAGTTCAGACAATT